ATTTCAGTGACACCTCAACCCAGCATGTTACATACAACATAAACCATACCTCAGTGCAAACAATCTTGTTTGACATCCAGATAAGTTGCCCTGAGGAAGGCATATGCAATTCTGGTTGAAAGATAAAGATTACCATTGACCTGCATCATTGGGCCAAGAATCATTGAAGTGGAAATTTACCAACCACTTGCATTCTGATGCTTTATTACCTGAACCAAATTGTTTTTTGCTACGCTGTCTGTGAGCATGTTATCGCTAGGGAGAAGTCTTAGAGGCGTTTAAAACTGGTTTTCTTTGGTAGATGGAATTTTTACATTGACAACTTTACTTGAAACGTTTACGTACGACAAATCTGTTTTGATAGGACTAGGTTTCGGCTGGACTTCCCAGACTTCATCAACTAGGTTGTGAAACTCATTGATCCCTCTACCTGAAAGAGTGGATAATTTTAAACAGAATCCGCAAGACCTACGTTAAGGCCGTACAGTGAGAATCCTACGACCGAGGCAATTTCACTGTAACGATTAGCTACCTCGGCAACCGGTGCGAAGCAATGACGTTCTAGAGAGAGAAAAATGGTAGCGCTATCAAAATTAGACCAGGCCATATGGCTGACGTAATCATACGTAAGAACAGGATCCTAACAAAAGAGAGGTGCATGGGGATTCTGGTGGCAAAACATACTCATTCCTCAGTTCAGATACTGAATTGGCTAACAAAAGCAATGGCGGCAAGGACGACAGGGCAACGGGGTTACTAAAAATAATCTACCACCTCCATCGTTTCATCCCTCCGTTCTTGCCGGGTGGGTTCTTCATAGCTATTAATTTTCATGGGTTTCTGTGTTGTATGCAGAAGCGGCAGGTGAAACAGTCCGTTTCCTCAATTAATCATCAAGAAGCATCAACTGCGTATGCCGGCTCAACATGATGTCAAATCAGGTATCTTGAACTGTGCATTCCTTTCAAATGGTACCCTGGTGAGGTCGTACGGCAATCACGGCAATGTGGACCGTAATATCGAGGTCTTGAGGTATCGAAAACTTCCTGTTAAAGCCCCTCTCCCTCCGCGAGTTCGACTAAGCAGCAAAATAGCATGCATCGACTGACCACAACGACATGTTTGAATCACAAGGCCGGCCTTTTTAAATATGTAGCCAGTGGCAATACGAAAAGCTATACAACCCTATGTTAAACAGTTGGTTTATTAGAGGAATCAGGTTTAATCATATGATCCGAGTTATATCATTCAAAGAAATTAATCGATATCGGTAAAACAAAACATGAGCAGATTTGTAATGCAATGGTCTAAAATTATCGATGGCGCTAATCTTGCACTCTCTTAAACTTAGGTTGAAGATTTTCGAGTGGAAGTTAGGCGAAACGCTTAAACTTATCTTTAACTCTACTTAGCTTGACTCATAATTTAACTTTTCATCCCTCAGTAAGAAGCAGCAGCTGACGTCAATTTTCTTCGAAGTCAGCGGATGTTCAGAGGTTGCGAAATGATGCCAGTTTTGATACCAACTTATTTGGCTGTTCTTAAAGTGCCTCCTATCTCTTGCTGTGGCCATGGTTCAAATCCGCAGTCGCTTTCTGGACTACCCCTTGAACGCTGCGTCGAACTTTTCAATTTTTATAACCTCTGACCGAAACTCAGCAATCGGCGCAGCCCGATCACATGTAAGTCCAATAATGAATGCTGGTTTCACGGATATCCTCTAAGGTTCAGTCCTATTGTGCGTTGTAGCAACATATAGACACATGCAATGCCCTACTTACAAGGATGAACACCATGCAAGTATAGACAATGTTGTTATTCCGGACTTCTCATGTCTTGACCATTCAAGTAGGTCAAGCGTTCTCCCGCACTCTTCACTTCCGGACGTTATCCATTGAACCTCAATCGTCTCTTTTCCTTTCGTCCAGTTTGATCACGAGTCATTATGCATTGC